ACTTGCTTGAACGGTGATGACTTCACTATGTTTTCTTGGGACAGTGTCACAAGACTGTTTCAGACCATCTGAACACTCCAACTTCTTGTAGAAGCGGAGGGAAGGTAAAAAAGGAATCGGCTCAATGACTCAAATGCAAAGTGCAATTTGATTGTGGACACACGAGTCTCATTCAAAGATTGGGTGTAGGAACAGAACTTTGGAGTACTTAGCTGTATGCGTAGGTGTGCCTTGAAGGGGGGTGTACTGGGGTGGGACACGGTTTGAAGGTCGTAGGCGTAGTTCGGAAGGTCGCAGACATAGTTTGGAGGGTCGTAGTTGTAGTTTGTAGGGAGATGCAACACTTCAAAGAAGTTCGAAGCCAGACTGAGCTCTACTGAGTGGGGGATGTGATTCTGTGTGAGTCTCGCTACTAGGGGCCAAGTGCTGCGTTACAATCATGCAAAACTGCTCTTAAATATCCCTCATCCTGCCCAAACCTCCCGAGTCACTGTCTCTACTGCCCTGACCATGCCTAACGATCCCAATATCCTTCCTACTCCCATCCGACACCTCCATCAGTTTCAACTCCCATCCCACACACTACACCTGCTAGTCTTAGAGGCCTGACCATTGTGAGTCTTGGCATTGCAACCCAAGCGCACCGACCTAAAGGTTTGCCTGGCAGCCCTGTATTGGGTGTCTCAGTCTCTTGATGATGGGGTTTTGTCCTCAAAGTCAAGCCCCCAGAATAATGCCACCACCGAAAAATCCCAATCGGATTGTAGTGAGGTCGTGAAGCTTCAAAGATGTCAAGAAACTGGCTTTGCTTGAAGACGTTTTCATGTCAGGGTATCGTAGGCTTCCCCAAAGGCGGAAGTTTTGAATGCTTTGAATGTTGAGATCAACTCGAAGCATGCCCACACGCTACATGAGCCTATCAACGGACCGATTAGAAGAAGGCTGCTAGTGCAGTTCATAAATCAAGTCAAAGACAAGTTTGGTGACACACGGTATAGGAACCTTGGGAGACTGGTAAAGGAGCTATTATGAGAGAGTGATCACACGGAGTTGGGTAGAGACTCTGTTATTTGGAATAACAGTCTCTAAAAGTTTTTATCTACAATTCAAACAGACGTCAGTAGTAAACAAAAGGATGCTTACTATGAAGTTGTACTATCCTCTAAATTGAACAATGTCAACATCTTCTACTCCGATACCCATGGCTGGATTAGAACCAGATATCTCATGGTATCAATTAGAACCTCAAATTGACGAGAGAATAATAGCAAGACATTATCCAGGAGATAACTTTGAAGGAACTAGATGAGCATGGAAGGAAATACTCCAAAACACCACGAGCTCACTACAGTTAGAAGTTCAAAGAGTTTTCAGAGATGTCTTCCTGTATATGGGACGTACCAAACAGAGGATTTCAGATCAGCAGATTGAAATTACTGCAGCCAATGCTCACCTTGCAGCAGTAGAAGCAGTGAATATACAATTATGAGCAGAATTGAACACCTTGCTTGGGCAATTCAATCAAGAGATAATACAACAACTTGCAACAACAATGTCACAGGACCAAGAAGAATGGAGGTTCAGGATTGCACAACCAGGAAGGTTCGTGAATAATTCAAAAGAGCAGACTTTTGAACAATTTGTTGAAAAACTGGCTGTATGGTATGCACACCAGAAGGTGACTTTGGACAGAGACCAAATTACAGGTGTATTAGCTTTGTTGGAAGGCCGCGCCCACACAGTTGCAGGTAATTATTATCGCATGGTCAAGGATGCCAAATATTTGGGATCGTATGAAGATTTTCTACACCAAATGAGGAGGGCCTTTATGACCACGGATCAAGAAGAAGATGTGCATCAGGAATTCCTGGGAATGCTCAGGAAATATGACACTGTCACAGCATGAGACACTGCAAAGTTTATTGGCAAATTCAGAGGCCTGGCAGACCTCATGAAAACCACTGACAACAAATTAATTGCTGCAATCAAGGATAGATTGCACAAGGAAATTAGAAATGTCCTTGCGGCCAGGGGAAGTTC